AACGATCAGATACCATACAAAAATAGATTTAAAAAAATTAAAAGAATCCTTGTATACAAACACAACGCATTTCGCCCTTGGGCCTTTTCAAGTGATAGTAAAATGTATATGATGCTCTTAAATATTTAAGTAGATTTCATTCGGAATTTACAATTGTTACCATTTTAAGCAAAGAGCACTATATTTGTTTTATTTATTTAATATTCCGGCTGCATTGTGAGTACTCAAAAATGACGCCTAAAGACATATCCGTGAGCGGGAATCATACCGCTCTAAGCGCTATCCAAGAGCCGATTGGATGCTCTCCCTTTGTGAGTGTATTTTTATCACTATATAAAGTAGATCTTTGAATATACTGGGTTACACTATTGTTGTTCTTTTCTATGTTTACATTTCATATGAGACCTCAATAACAGAATCAGAACCGATTGCCCTCTAATTTTACATCTGACTGTTTGTCCATCAAGGAGGATAACAGACTGACCTCCAAAAGACACTACCTCTAGCAGGTTTTATTTTGTTACTCAAAAGTCTTTTATCTCTGGGACATACACTGCACTTTGTATTCAAGTTGTTAGAATTAAATCTTATACATCGACTTATTTATGTGATTCTCATATTTATGTATTTGGCGCAGTTTGTATTTCCCTACTATTCGTTATGGTGTAGCTACTGAGAAGGTTCACATGATTTTAAACAGTAACACGGATTCAGCATTTTTTTTTCTTGAAAATGTAATTAATTTATCAAACAATTTTACATTTTTATCAACTTCAATTAATGATGTCTGAGACTGACTTTCAGTGGGGGCCAGGCAGCATCCGTTGACGTTTTAATATTCTCTGCCTAGAAACTCAATGTGGGGCTTGAACGCTGTATCCTGGCTGAATACAGCTATCTATGCGTCATTCTTTCCTGTAGCCCCATGTAGCCAGAGCGCAGCTTAGCGAAAAAGGGCCTTGACAGGGGTTAGGAGGCGGGCATAGGAGGGACCAAGCAGGACTGTGGGATTATGGGATGGGGGCTGGCTATTTATTAGGCAGCCATTTTAAAAATGTGCACATTAATTTCTGCCTAGCTGTGTTTGTGTTGCCTCTTGGTTCACTGACCTGCTAGGTAGGCTTTTCTTTTTTGTCTCCTCTGCAGGGCCATGGAAGAGGTGGAGCGGCTCCTGGATGGGATCCGGACGGCGGCGCGGCAACAGGGCCCAGGCTGGGCGAAGATGCATCTGGGCCCCCTGTTAGCAGCGGCAGATGGCGGCGGCGGTCGCCCGGCGCGGGCCAGGAGGCCACCACGGCGCTTGAGCCCGGGCGCGGGGCCCGTGACTCCTTCCCTTGGCGATCCGGCGGCTGGGGAGGAAGGCCGCGGCAGGCCTGGAGGCCGCGCGGTCGAGGCATCGCCTCCCGGCGGCCGGCCAGGGCCTCGGCAGGCCAGCTCCCGACGGGCTGCGGCCCTGGCATCAGACGGCGCGCCCCCTGGACGGGTTGGGGCGGCGCCGGGCCCGGCGGACGCACCGGTGATGCGGCGGCCCTGCCGGGAATCGAGCAGGCGGGCCGGGCGAGTCGTACAGGAGGTGGGAGCGGCGGACGGTGGAGAGCGGGCCAGGAAGGCGCGGACCAGGCCCAGAACGGAGCAGGCAAGTGCAGGGGGCCCCCTTGGGGGTTCCCTTGGCGTGGGGCCCAACCTGGGGGTGCAGCCTGGGGGTAGTGTGCCTGGGGCGAGAGGGGGGGGGAGTGGAGCTCAGGTGGCTGGGGGGGGACCTTCTGGGGGGACCCAGGGGAGCTCTCAGGGCCCTAGTGAGGGAGGGAGTGGGGGGGGCTCTGTGGTAGGGCTGCTGGGGGCACAGGGGGGGTCCCTGGGGGTGCCTGGGGGGTCAGCGGGTCGGGTGAGGGAGGTAGGGGCGGTAGTTGGAAAGGGGGGGGTTGGTAAGAGGGCGGTGAAGCGTAGGGGGCGGGGGGTGTCAGGGGGCCACTTCCAGAGGCGGGGAGGCGCTGGGGCTGGGGGGGGCTATGCGGGTCCAGAGGCCGTGTCTAGTGGGTCGGAAGGTGGGGGGTCTGGTGACAGCTCCGGGTCGGACTCTAGCAGCGTTGGTTCTTCACCTGTGAGGGACGTGAGGTCCCTCAGGGCGCGGGAAAAAAGGGGGGCCCGGCGCAGGCGTTCTCCCTCGGGAAGTTCGGTAAAGGCCAGGTCAGGGTCATTAGGGCGGGGGCGGCAGGAGAGGGCGGCGAGGGCTGAGGGTAGGACTCGGAGTCCCCGGGGCGGTGGGGAGCGGGCTCACGGGGGGCAGCGGGAGAGTGGTGCACGGCGGGAGGCCTTGGTAGCAGGCAGGCGCTCCCTGGGTCGGGACGGGAGGGGAGCCGGAGGGCACTACCCCCTGCCCAGGATGTCTTCTCCTCATTTCAGGTCTCCGAGCCATTCGTCTTCCACGTTATCGAGGCACCAGGTGGGCTCCCTGGTTGGCGGGACGTCGGCGGATGTTGCGCATCCAGGTCACGCAGCGGTTGACAATGCAACCCCGGGTACGGACGGATCGAGGGGCTTGGCCGGTGAGTCCAGAGGCCCCCTTGGGTCCAATACACTAGTTCAAACACTTCAGTCACTGCTCCACTCATTGGGGGCGGGGGGTGGCACTTCGGGCGATGTAGGTCAGGTTTGGACGCGAGGGTCCGGCGAGGTGGGGCGTGCTAGCGGGACTCCCGTGGTAGCCGCGCCCAGCGGGGAGGCGGGTGTAGAGTCCAGCCCGGGGGAGGTGGGGTGCGAACGGGCGGAATTGTCGGGAGGAGTGTCGGACGCGGCCAGGCAGCATGCTTACATGTCATTTGCGGGCCCGCTGGGGGTGCACCTCAAGCAGGAGGCGAAAGAAAAATTTGGAAGGGGGAGTTCTGTGAGATATTCTCCCTTCTTCCTCTGGAGGACTTCATTGACCTCAAGGAGGAGGATAAGAAGGACGAAAAGAAGGAGGAGGAGGAAAAACGGAAGCGGTATCGAAAGATACCGAAGTCCTTTGGGAACTGGCTGAGGGCCTTGTGCGTCCTAGCCAGTGTGATAGGGGAGAAATCGCCGAGTTCTTGCTCTTCCCTATTCTGTTACTTAGATGGGATCTGGGAAGCGTATCGCACCTATGGCGGGCTGGCCTGGTGGCGGTACGACGAGCAGTTCCGGCAACGCTTGGCGGCTAATCCTGGGATGAGGTGGGACCAAATGGACCTGCCCCTGTGGATGAAGCTGATGATGGCGCAGAAGGCACAGCCCTTTCAGCACGCGGCTGGCGCAAAGGGACAGTCCGCCTCGTCGGCCGCCTTGCAGAAGGGCTTATGCTGGTCGTTCAACGAAGGTCAGTGCAAGTGGGGGGCGGCCTGCCGCTTCAAGCATGAATGCGCGGGCTGCGGTGGGACCCACGGGCTCCAGAGATGCTATAAGAAAGGTAAGTCGGGCGGAGCCGGAGCTCCTCCAGCGCCCGGGGGAAGTGGGACAGCTGCTGCCCCGGGGCCGAACCCCGGTGAGGCTCGACGCGATGGAACCCTGGCTAAGCCGCTACGGTAATGCAGGGGACACAGAACTGCTTAGGTCGGGGTTTGGACAGGGGTTTTTCATCCCCTTCCGAGCGAGGGAGGGTTCGTTGTGTACGCGTAATCTAAAATCGGTAAGGGAATTTCCGGATGTGGTCCGGGAGAAGCTTAGTAAGGAGGTGCGGTTGGGCAGGATGGCAGGTCCATTCTCAGCGCCGCCGATTCTGGGCCTTAGGGTGTCACCATTAGGGGTGGTTCCCAAGAAGGAGATCGGGAAGTTTCGGCTCATTCATCACCTGTCCTATCCTAGGGGAGCGTCGGTGAATGACGATATCGATGGGGAATTGTGCTCGGTCTCTTATGCATCATTCGACCAGGCGGTCGAGCTGGTTAAGAGGGCCGGGCGTGGGGCTTTACTGGCCAAGGTGGATATTGAAGCTGCTTTTCGGCTGCTTCCGGTTCATCCGGCTTGTCACCACCTGCTGGGGTGCTTCTTCGAAGGGGGCTTCTTCGTCGACTTATGTCTCCCGATGGGCTGCTCCATTTCGTGCTCCTATTTTGAGAAGTTCAGTACCTTTCTCGAATGGGTGGTGCGGATGGAGTCGGGGAACGACGCAGTGGTGCATTATTTAGATGACTTTCTCTGCGTAGGGCCGGCGGGTTCTCCCGCCTGCCGGCACCTGTTGCGGACAGTGGAGTGGGTGGCAGGCATAGGCGTGCGCACGGGGTGTGCCGGGTGTGCCTGGGCACACCCTAATCCCCGTGGCACGCCTATGGCTTGAGTCCTGCAGGAACAGCGTTCCTGCACTTTTTTTGAACAGGAACGCTGTTCCTGCAGGCACTCAGCGCCCCCCTGTCTCACCTCTTGCCCCTGTCATGGGGAGGGCAAGAGGTGATGGATTACCCCCCCCCTGCAGCTCAGCGGGCGGCGAGGGAGCTCTCTGCTCTCTGCTGTGTGCTCCCTCTCGCCGCGCGCTGATGCCGGGAGCCGGAATATGACGTCATATTCCGGCTCCCAGCTCGAGCAGACAGCCCGCGCGGCGAGAGGGAGCAGAGAGCAGAGAGCAGAGAGCTCCCTCGCCGCGGCTGAACTGCGGAAAGGCGCCCGCCCCCACTGGACCCCAGGGAAAAGTCCACCAGCACTCCAGGTAGGAGGCTGGGTGGACATTTTTTTTTTTAAATTGAAATATAATAATTTGTGTGTGTGTGTCAGTGTGTGTTTCTGTGAGTGTGTGAGTATGTGTCAGTGTGAGTGTGTGTGTGTCTGTGAGTGTGTGAGTGTGTGTGTGTCTGTGAGTGTGTGTGTGTCTGTGAGTGTGTGAGTATGTGTCAGTGTGTCTGTGAGTGTGTGTGTGTCTGTGAGTGTGTGAGTATGTGTCAGTGTGTGTCTGTGAGTGTGTGTGTGTGTCTGTCAGTGTGTGAGTGTGTGTGTCTGTGAGTGTGTGAGTATGTGTGTCTGTGAGTGTGTGAGTATGTGTGTCTGTGAGTGTGTGTGTGTGTCTGTTGGTGTGTGTGTATATATATATATATATATATATATATATACACACACACACACACACGCGCGGCGTGTGTTTGTGCTTTAGGGTGCACACCCTAATGCAATAGGCTGCGCACGCCTATGGTGGCAGGCCACTTTGGGGTGCCGTTGGCGGCGGACAAGACTGAGGGCCCGACCGTGTGTCTCAGCTTTCTGGGTTTAGAAATAGATTCGGTGCGTGGGGAATGTCGGCTGCCTCTGACTAAGTTGTGCGGACTGCGCAGTGCGGTGGCCGCGGTGCAGCGGACGCGTAAGGTGACCCTGCGGCAGCTACAATCGTTGATCGGGATGCTCAACTTTGCCTGCAGGGTGATACCCATGGGTAGGGTGTTTAGCCGCAGCCTGTCGGCAGCCACGGCGGGGGTCGGTTCTCCACACCATTTCGTTCGGGTCTCTTCCTCAATGAGGGCTGACCTGGACGTCTGGAAGGTATTTTTGCAAGACTTTAATGGGACGGTGTTCTTCCGTCAGGAGGGTGTGTCTACGGCCGAATTGGAGCTGTTCACCGACGCATCGGGTAGCGTGGGTTTCGGGGCCTACTTCAGGGGGGATGGTGTGCTCAGAAGTGGCCGGAGGCGTGGGGACGAAGCCCCCTCATACGGAACTTGGCTTTTCTGGAGCTGTTCCCGTTGGTAGTGGCATTGGCCCTGTGGGGGGATTGGCTCCGGGACCGCAAAGTAGTCTTCTTCTCTGACAATATGTCGGTGGTGCATGCCGTCAATAACCAGTCGGCAGCATCCAAACCGGTGGTGACGCTATTGCGACGTTTTGTTTTGCTTTGCATGTCCCTTAATGTAGTTTTTCGCGCGCGTCACGTGCCCGGGTATTTGAACGAGGTGGCTGATGCTCTGTCTCGTTTTCAGTGGTCCCGGTTTCGGTTGGCGGCTCCGGAGGCTCAGGAGACCGGGCAGCTCGGAGCATCATGCTTGGGGGACTTGTGAGGGCTTCGCTGGCACCTGCCACATGGACCGCATACAGTAAGGTTTGGGGTGCCTGGGAACGTTCCTGGGAGGGGCTGGGCCAGGGGCCACAGGTGGAATCGTCGCAGGACGCCTTCCTGTGGTTCACTTTCCAATTGCTGGCAAAAGGTGTGTCCCCAGCAATGGTTGATAGGACCATGGCGGCGATGGCCTTTTGGTTCAAATTCCACGGGTGGGAGGACCTCACGAAAGCGTTCGTCATTAGGCAGGCTCTCAAGGGGTATCGGAGGGGCCGGAGGGTACCGGATGCCAGGCGTCCGGTCTCGGTTCGGGTGCTTGGGAATTTACTCCACATGCTTCCCGGAATCTGCTTTGACGGGTTTGAGGTAGCCCTGTTCAGGACAGCCTTTCTCTTGGCCTTCTTTGGTGCATTCCGGATAGGGGAATTGGTGAGCGCCACGCGGTCGGGGTCGGGGGGTCTGCAGTTATCCGGTGTTCGCATGATCGCTGGGAACCTGGTGGTATACCTGGCTACATCCAAAACGGACGTCATGGGAAAAGGCCGGGATGTGACGCTGGGCCCCCTGCCTGGGTCATCACTGTGCCCGGTTGCGGCTGTGGCTCGGTTCTTGGAACTGAGACCGGCAGTCGGGGGGTCTTTATTGGTTCATGCCGATGGCTCCTCGCTCTCCCGTTTCCAATTTACTAAGGTGTTCTGATTGGGTCTGGGGGCGTTGGGGTTGAGTGCTGCTGCCTACGGGACGCATTCCTTTCGCATAGGGGCGGCCACTGAGGCAGCGCGTCTGGGCATGGGGGACGAGTTAGTCAAAAGGATTGGGAGATGGGAATCCGCTCGGTTCCGCACGTATGTGCGCATGGGTTTGTTGGATCAGTGATGCGGGCTGTATCGGTCGGGGGGTGGGCCCCGGTATTGGTATGGGTGTTTACGTTGTTTCCCTTCTTCCCCAGGTTGTGTCGCATGGATTGTGGGCCATTCCTTCATCGTTTGGGCCGGACGGAGAGCTGCAGCTCGAGCCCAGGGCCAACAGCTGGGCTTCCCGAAAGACCTCCTAACAGTGCGATGGTTGGGCTTTAAGGGGTTTGGCTGGGGCGACGTGTGCGGGGCAATAATTCGGATGGTAGCAGGTGGGGCGAGGCCAGATATGCTAGTTCTGCACGCCGGGGGCAATGACCTGGGCCTCATCCCGCAACGTCGGTTGGTTAAATGGATGAAGCAGGACCTGAACAGGTTGTTCGATCTGCTTCCCGGGGTGATGCTGGTGTGGTCTGAGATAGTTCCGAGGCGTCGGTGGCTACACGCGAGGGACCCAGTGGCCATCGATAGATGCAGGGGAAAAGTTAACAGCTTGATGGCAAGCTTCGTGAGGAAATTGGGGGGCGTGGTAGTGAGGCACGTAGAATTGGAAGGCGGGCTGCCGGGTTATTACCACACGGACGGTGTTCATCTTTCAGCGGTTGGTCTGGATTTGCTGAACTTGGGTTTGCAGGAGGGGATGCAGAGGGCTCTCTTTCTTCGGGGTGGCGGAGCTCGGACGGCTTGAGGGGTCAAGGTCCGAGCTTGTGGCGGGATAGAGAGCTAGGGAAGGCAAAAATAGGCTCCCCATGAGGAACGTGAGGAACATGAAGAATTGTGGTCACTGGTGGATGGTGGGTTTCGAGTCCTGGAGGTGGCTCAGAACCTGGTAGGGTAGGGGTATCTGGGTATACCCCTACCGTGGTTACTTATGGTTGGCACTCAAATCGGTTCATGTTGGAGTAAGGTTAAAGCGTTATTTATATATATTTATGTGTTGCTTATGTTGGGTCATTGCCCTGATATTTAATGAAGGTATAGATGCGAGGGCGGAGGATGGGGGGCAATGGCCCATGTGTTATATATATGTTAAATTATTAGTATCGTTTCTGTTTGTTAATAAAGCTGTGGACAATTTTTCCCATATTCCTAGTGTCAGCGTGTTATTGGGGATAGGTATGTGGGTTGGTTGTCCAAGGTTCCGACTGCCCATATGGCGACTATACACCAGTCATGTAGCCCCATGTAGCCAGAGCGCAGCTTAGTGGAAAAGGGCCTTGACAGGGGTTAGGAGGCGGGCATAGGAGGGACCAAGCAGGACTGTGGGATTATGGGATGGGGGCTGGCTATTTATTAGGCAGCCATTTTAAAAATGTGCACATTAATTTCTACCTAGCTGTGTTTGTCCCTCCCTCCCTCCCTGTAATGTGTTTGTTTTCTTTTATCCCGTTTTGTCACAGCGGCGGGATAGAGAGCTAGGGAAGGAAAAATAGGCTCTCCATGAGGAACGTGAGGAACATGAAGAATTGTGGTCACTGGTGGATGGTGGGTTTCGAGTCCTGGAGGTGGCTCAGAACCTGGTGGGGTAGGGGTATCTGGGTATACCCCTACCGTGGTTACTTATGGTTGCATTCAAATCGGTTCATGTTGGAGTAAAGTTAAAGTGTTATTTATATATATTTATGTGTTGCTTATGTTGGGTCATTGCCCTGATATTTAATGAAGGTATAGATGCAAGGGCGGAGGATGGGGGGCAATGACCCATGTGTTATATATATATATGTTAAATTATTAGTATCGTTTCTGTTTGTTAATAAAGCTGTGGACAATTTTTCCCATATTCCTAGTGTCAGCGTGTTATTGGGGATAGGTATGTGGGTTGGTTGTCCAAGGTTCCGACTGCCCATATGGCGACTATACACCAGTCATGTTCTGTAGCATTTGTTTACAATTTGCAGACTCCCAGTGGATTAGTGCCGAAGCTTAAAGTGACACTAAACATTCATTTAAATGTTTGCTTCTTTAATAAAACTAATGGTTAGAATCCAGTAGCAGTTAAAATCAAATAAAGTGACATGTATCTTTGATGACACATGCTTTTTTCTATTTATTACTGACTCACAGTTAATTATGTCTTGCCTTTTGCTGACAATTTTACTGTGTGCTACAGAGGTAGCAATATCTACTGCTACACGTTCCATCAAAAGCTTATTCAGCAGTGGTTCCCAAACATTTTAGATTCACAGTGCACTTAATATTTCAATATTTTTCCAAGGTGCACCTAGTCAAAACAAAGTTCTAGGTTTTATATCTGTACAGCACTGTGGCATATACTGGTGCATTATTATATAATGTGTTTAATGCAGGGGTTTTGGTATGCAATGTTTGTGTTTGATTGCAGGGGTGTGTTTGTATGTAATGTTTGTGTTTGCTTGCAGGGGTGTGTTTGTATGTAATATTGTGTTTGATTGCAGGTGTGTGTTTGGATGTAATGTTTGCTTTTGTATGTGTATGTACATTTGTGTGTAGTATTTGTGTTTGAGTAAAGGGGGGTGCTTGTATATAATTTTGGAGTTTGATTGAAGGGGTATGTTTGTATGTAATATTTGTTAGATTGCAGGAGTGTGTTTGCATGTTGTGCTGGTGTTTGATTGCTTGTATGTATGCATATATAAACATAAACTGCCACATATATATATATACTTACACTGTTATACATATACATTAATTCACAGGTATATATAAGTACACTGACACATACTCAGAAATTCAAATAGACACGACACATACACATAGATACACACGCTGACACATGCACACACTTTAACACACACATACCCTGACACACTGATGCCCACACCATGACACAGATGCATATACATATACACAGATGCACACCCTGACACCCTGACACACACTGACATACAGATACACACACAGAATCTGACATTCACATAGACACATACATGTGATATTTTTTTATATTTGCAGCTATTCTCCTGTTAGCTTACATTTTGTGTCCAGGAGGGTGGCTTGCTTGGGGTTCTGGTGCTGGGTGAGACTGGTGGGAGTGAGCATGTAGTAACTCACTCCAGTCTATCTTCTGCCTCCAGCAATAAAGAAATAATTCCCCGTGAGAAGCCTTGAGAGCTGATTTTCTTTTTTATAGGTGCTGTAGTGTGGGACCATAGGGCTGTAATGTAGATTGATAGGAGCTGTAGTGAAGGGTGAAAAGTTTGGCAGCGTGTGGGGGGGGATAAGGGCTCCAGTGTAGGGGTATAGGGCCTCTAGTG